CAAAGCAAGTTCAAAGATAAGAACCAGATTGTTTCTCCTATACCTGTCCGGAATTCTGAGCAAACTTATTTGAATTTTCAGGTGAGCTTGAACTCTCAAGATGATCTTCCAGTAAATCTTCCTCTTTTTTAATGGGCTTTTCAAAGGAAAAACTAGTGGACCGCAGACCACTAGCCTTTCTTGAAGGTTTTGTTCTTCTTCCTGTCATTGTTGCCTGTGTAGATACCCTTGGAGTGTTCACCACCAAAGACGAAAGAGATCTCTCCTTTCTCCTAGCTGGTAATGGTATTGAGGTCACAATTTCAGGTGCCTTCACCTTTCTTCCCTTCAAGGGGAAAACTTTGGCCCTCACATCTTGCAAACTGTGGTCTGGCCTGGTAATCAGAAACTAAAGTTGGTAACTTGGCACGCAACAATTCAAAAGAGAATATCAACATCGTCAGCTATGTGGTTTTGTTTGATTGTAGTTTTCAAAAAATGCTTGAAGTGTGTTTCATTATATGAAATGGTGGTGTAGGTAATTCATTAAAAAAAAAACATCTTCCTGATCTACTTCTTTTCAGATAGTTCAGATTACTCTCCTGTTTTCCCTAACCTAGAAAATTCATCAATGCAATTATTATAAACCCAATTTGTTTATCCTAGTTCGTCATCATCCTCCTTAAGTTCCACACTATTTCGCTGTTTTTTTTATGATCAAGTACATTTGGTAATGAGATAATACATCAATTTTGGGTAATACCACAATTAAGACAAGCACTGCAAACAAGAACACCATCACTTGCAATAGAATCAAACGATATCATTTTGAAGACAAAGGAAATTATTAATAAATCTACATTTTAAAATTTCTCAATCAAAACAGATGCTAAATCCCTCCTTGTTGATATCAATTATCTCAGTCCTTTTATCAAGTAAGGACCATCCTTCTTCGTTTCATCTTAATCTGTTTCCAACTAAAAGTTCAAATGAAAAATTATTAAATGCAATCAGCAGACCAAGAAAACATAATTGTTACAAATTACATTTTACTGTTACCATAATTTTGTATTTCTCAAGCCTTAAACACTTTACATTTATGATAATCTATATTATTAACCATATGCAATGTCTGTCAGGAAAACTATTCAAAATAAAGTAATAACCTACAAGCATTACCATATGTATATCATCAACTAAATTTTGGAAATATGTCAAATTTGAGGGCATTTAATTATTTCCCTGTATACTATATGCATGTATTAATCTAACAAATTCGTCATGCAGGTGGTGGATCCTTCTTATGTCAGTTTTCATAAAGTAAAAGGTTGATGTAACATTATCTTGACAGCACAATAAAAGCATGAACATTTATCATTCTTGCAGGCTGATGCAACAGCATAATACCACCTAAGAAGAAGATCGGATAACGGTATGGTCTATGACAGCTATTTGTTTCTCTGCTCCCAGGCAGGATCTTTCAACAGATTTTGAAAGACAAAGAGTATTCAACAGCTTTATAGCAGACATTCGACCCATCAACAACATTATCCATTTTCAAAAGAAAGGTTTCATCTTGTAAAGGTGTATCTCCATTTTAGCAGGCTAGTAAGTTGTAGCACTAATTAGGGTGTGGGTTGCATAAAGATAAACTCTTACTACACAGCATACCACGTTAAAGCAACACCCTCCATGCATATTCAACAACTTAAAGTATAGCAGAGAGGCATTTTGTTTTCTTTTCTTCTTTTTTTTTTAAAGGAAGCACAAGAGTATACAAGAGTGACTTGGAATTCAATTAAAGGCAGAGACTGACCTCAGTTTCTCGAGTGGAACACAACCCAAATCAATGCCGCATATTGGACAACTTTCCAATTCCTCATCCATAATTTTATCATAAATGCACTTCCTGCAAACTGAATATAGTCCATAGAAAAAGTTAAAAAAAAATCTACTATTAGTTTAGTAGCCACACACAACAGGCTTTGCTTAGAACTTGTACTGGTGAAACAAAAAAAAGTGCATGCAAAGATATCAAATTCGACCAAACAACACATAACAAACACCAATAGAAAATTAATCATAAAATGCAAGAATCAACCCCATAAATATATTCAAGCTTCCACAACAGTTAGTATAATTTTGCATGCAGTGAGATCAGGACTGAATCTTAGCGTGAGAAAGGAAGCAGTTTTACTAAAAAAATACAGTGGGAGTTGTAGTAAAAAGTTCAAACACCTTTCCACCAAGGACATTAATGGAACAGCATAAGAATACTTAGTCAATAAAAAGCACACTGCTTCTGACGAGCATTCACGTCCTCAACAGGTATAGTTAGAGAGAGAACCCAAAAGAAAAGAAAATTAGAAAAAATAAATAAAAAATAAAACTTTTGTTGGACACGTCAAATTACGAAATACCCATATCTCCCTCCGGTTACGCAAAGTCCAGATGCTCCCGCATCGGGGCGAAGAGTGAAAGAGGAAGCGAATGCAGAGAAATCGAAGAAAAAATTGACACGGATTGAAAGAGAGGAGGGCTCACACGTGTGAAGACATTCGGATATGGTTGTGGCTTCTCTGAACAACTTGTTGCAGAGTGGGCAAGTCATGCATGCTACAATCGTGTTCCTCCGCACTTTCACCACCTGATTCGACATGCTCCTTAATTTTCTTGGACGCTCACGAACTACTCTCACACGCTCACACCCTGCATGCTATCACCAGGCCTGCACCTCCCAAATTTACGTCCATTCTCTGGCAATCACTCTATGCATTAAGAAGAAGAAGACGCAGTGTGGAAAAGGGTGGAACGGAGAACGAAGAAGCTCGTGGGAATGGATGGAGCTGTTGGTAACGGTGGGTATTGCAGCAACAACGATCGGTGAGGAAGGAGAAAAACTGGTGCGAAAATGAAATGGGTCGGTGAGATTCGAAAGGATTTGACGTGGGTTATGCTGGATTTGGCAGAGGGAGTTTGTCTTGCTTTGTGGGTGATCTGAATCGAGAGGACCTCTTGTTCCAGCATGAACCGAAACCGAGTGTTTCTGTGTTTATGGTTGTGTTCTCTGTGTTTCTTCTCTCTTTTTCTATGTGGTTTTTTTTTTTTTTTTTTTTTTTTGGTGAATTTTAATTTATTGGAAAATATGGACAATTCAAACAAAATATTATAAGGACATATGTTCCACACTTCAACCAACGACAGCTAGACGAAAAAATAAAGGACAGCTAGAGAAGTTGAGGTGTGCGATAATGTGCGCCGGGGTTAAGGTGCGCACCCTTGGGCGGCGTGTAACGAGGGAGGGTTCACGGTATAAATAACCTCTGCAAAATTAACTTTCAATTTCAGTCTCTTTTCTCTTTGAAATCTAAAATACTACGAATGGAGTGTAGTGTGTTTTGAGTGTTCAATGCGTTGAATCTTTGTTCCAAAGGGAGTCCTTTTTTGGGTAATTTTTAGGTGCATGTATATAATGTAAGAGGACTCTCTCATAACAATGTTTTGTTACATTTTAAGGAAAGATTTATTTAAAATAAAAAAAGCACTCTATCTAAAATAGATTAATATCATTTAATATTGAATCAATAAAAAGTTCCTTCTAATTATGTTCTTCATTATTATTAAAGGCTCTATCTCACTTTATTGAGCAAATTGCATGAATGGTTGTAAAACTATTTGATTGCAATCAATTTTTATAAATAAATAAAATATTGGCAAATCAATTACTAAATAAAATATCATATATATGCTATGGAGCCTAAAATTCCACTGAATAATCAGAACTGAAACTCGATCAAGTTATAATTAATAAATAATAAAAAGACCTGAAAAAAATCTATTTAAGTAACTATTTGATGATAATTTTCATTTAAAATTTAAAAAAAAAGAAGCTCTTTTGTTCACGTGCTAAAGCCGTTTATTTGCACAAAAAGGATAAAATAAAAATGAAATTGTTCTAGTATCATCTTTAAAATATTACTTGACGCAGTACCTAATATTATAACATATTATAGTTTTTACCGTAAATATTTTAATAAAATTTCTCCTTTACTGTTTGGAGCATCAGTGTATTATCGTTGTTGTATGCAGCTTTATGGTTTACGATATTGAAATGGTTGATGTGAGGTGTAGCAATTCCATGTAGAAATGTTAAATACGTGCCCGAATGTCATTTGCTTCGCATTGAAGGTTTGTTAGTTAGGGTACCTTTATCCTCATCCAGAAAATAAAATAAAATAAAACAAAATAAAATAAACTAATAAAATTAGGTTTCCACACACCAAACCAAACCCCAAAGTTAAAAAGCTCCTTCAATTGGCTTTGTCCAAAAATAGAACATGTGATCTTCGTTTTTATCTTATTTGCAAAAGGGTCCTCACCACTCTACCCCTGGCCCATGCGCAATTCAGTAATTGAAACCCGTGCAATGTGAACAAAAAAATAAAAATAAAAAACCATGCATCTCGAGGTCAATCCACGTCAGAGGTTAAAAAGAAAGTTTTGGGAATTTGAAACACTGATTTGTATATATTAATAACAGTTACCACCGACAACTACAACTTTTTTTTGTGCTAACCTTAATTTTCTAAAGTTCAGACATCACGTCCACACCCTGACCATGCTTCATTGTTTGCTAATATAACATGATTACCTGGGAGAAATGCTACCAATAATTACTCTTGTCTTGATTATTTTCTCCCACTTTTTCATACTACCATTTATTATGGACAAAATAAACCAATGTATAATCATTGGGCCCAAACCAAAGTGGTGGAGGAGAACGCCCCGAGATCAGAAATTGTCGTGAAACGATGATAAATTCATAATAATTGTATGATTGCAGTAATTGATACCTGCATGCGCATAATCGATGGTGCCGTAAGAAGATGGAACTGGAGCAGAACTGATTTGACCAAATACCATACATTAGAAAGACAATTGATGTCTTCTTTTTTTTATTTTCACTTGTACATGTAAGGGACTTTGACTGATAAAATGAAGGGGTTTCGCCTTTAAAAAATAAGATAAATAATCTCAGTGGATAGTGAAAAAATTAATGTGTTCACTTTAGAAACAGATATATAATAGGAAGAAAGAGATATAAACATAATATTCAAAAAAATATAGTATTGTTTTGAGGCAATGTGTGAAAATTGACCACTTTTGACTGAACCTGATGTCTCCCTAGCGACATCTTTAGGCTTTACATTTTTTCAAGACCCGACAAGGCCTTTGCGTCGGGCATAAGATACTATGGATAAAAACAAGGATGCACAAACCATTCCCGCAAAGATCACCACCTAAAATTGTAAAAATTGAATTGGAAAAAGAATCAGGAAAACCTGTTGTAACAAACACTGTCCTTTTTGTGACAAAGGTTGCTTTTGAAAACCTTTCTCTTATAGTTGCAAGTGATGTGCATACCCATTTAAACACATGTTCGTGGCCTGGTGATTTCCATGTGTATGGAATGTTCATACCAAATATTGCAGCCACCAATGAATATAAGGACATACACACAGTGCCGGCACTGATGAAGAGCTCCAGCTGTCCCAAACAAGGATAGAAAATAATAGTAGTATTTAAAGGTTTCAATCATGGCTTTGGTAGCAAATGTTTCTAAAAATGTTAGTGAGAATTATATGCACATAAATACTTAACCTCATAAGGTGAAAACAATGGCCTTGAAAAACTTATACCTGAATCAGCTGGTTTCGGTGATTGTCAAGCTGCGTGCATCCATGTGTGACATGTTACAAAGAGTTGTTATGCTATAAATGGGGTGTTCGATTTCACTTCAAAAATTAAAACTTTTTCCCCTCCAGTAATTAAGAGCTTAAAATATACGAAGTACTTGTGTCTAAAATTTACCTGTATGTTGATGTAATCTTCTGTGTCATCGATGTATTCTCGCAACTGAAATGAAGGGAAGCATATATCAAAATAGAAAAGTTTATCAGCTAAGCAGTGCAGATCAGAAATGAAGTAGGAAAGATGAGAAGAAAAGACAGTTCATACAGTGGCCAATTTATTTAATGTGCCGTCAATTTGCATGAAATTGGCCTGCAAACCAAAGCACAACATTATTCAGTTCAATGGTATTCATTTAAGTAAACTATCTGTGTGCTGTGGCAACATTAAAGATAAAGAGTTCTTATAACCTCAAGTAACATTTCAAGCTCCTCAACATCATCCTCCCTTTGAACTGTTGTTCCACTTGCTCTGCTTGATTTGTGTATTCTTGAACCTGTATTTGGAGAACCATAAAGCCACTTGGGAGCATCAGAGCTACTTGTTGGAGATGATGAAACCGTCGACTTTCTTGATAAGTAAAGATCAGCCATGTCGTCGTCATCATCAAGTAGGTTTTCTAGTTCATCTCTAATCTACAAGAAAGCTAGTAAAGTAAAGGCAAACTAAAATATACTGGTTGTAATATGAAAAAGAGAGGGAAAATCAGGGACAGGGAAGTTAGTTACCTATATGAATCCCAGATACTTCTTATCTTACTGATACAATATGATACATACATATACATATATAGATATATATACTACACACCCACACGTGTGGGGGTTGAGACAATTCTTTTTAAATAATTTTGGATAAGACACATTCAGATAGTGGACAAAAATTTATAAAATATTTTATGTATATACAGAAAATACATCGAATTTCTCTTAAATTTGTAATTATGATAATCACAGAAATATTTGTGATCATAACAAAATAATTTACTTTTTGTCTGTATCTCAACTAGTTTTGGCTAACTACATCAATAAAATCACATTGGGTTGAATTTAAAACAATTATTGACTACAATAGCTAACAATTCAGAAACATCATTACTAACCTATTGTGTAATGCTAATTGTATCATTTCCATCTCCTCGGTAACCATCATCCGAAGAAAACAGCTTCTAAGTTCGTTTACCAAGTCTGCTAAAGTTCAACATCACCATGAAGTTGATCGTACTCTAATAATAGCCCGTAACCTTGTTTCTCCTTTTTTACACAATTAGACCTTTCTTTCATCTTTCCTAAAACGAAGTAAAGAAAGACTAGATTGCATATATAATCTAAATATTTGTCCCTTTAGGATCATTTTGTTTCTGTTCAAATAATGCATAAGGAAGTACGCATTACAATTCCTTTCACAACATGAAGAACATAGCTAAAAAAACTCAATTTTAGTTTTGGAGTATGCAGGCTTCATAGAACAGCATTGCCACGTTCTTATTTTAGAAGTACAATTTAAAAATAAAGAACACGTAGAGAAAAGGAAAAGGGGAATTCAGTTGTGAGGGGCAAAAGAATCAAACTGTGTTAAAATATCTATCTGTTATTTGAACATACCTTTTGAACACGACTGGTCAGCCTCGTCATTGCACATTTCAATTTTCTCACTCTATCCAAATTACGACTGCTAATCTGGACACAAGTGTCATGCAACCAGAGAGGTGTGGAAGGGGAAGAGGAGGATCAAGTGTCAAAAATTTGTACTGATAATGAAAAATCAAACTTCAAATAACAAACTGCATGTTTATGCACCAGATTTGCATAGGATATGGAGGCTATCTGAAGTTCTAAATCAGAAATTACCATTAGTATTAGGTTTTATCCTTAGGGATACTGTGCTGTCTTTCTGATAATAGTTATATATCTCATTCTTACTCCAAAACCATTGTGCTAGCATAAAAGGGGGAGACTAATTTTAAAAATCAAAAGGAAATTGATATCACAAATTATAAACAAAATGGTTTCTAGCCTAGTTTTTAAGTTGACATATGTTGCTGACAAATTGTCAGTGACAATACAATGATGTGAAGATATGTTTAAGCTATGTTCTTGTACCAAGGTGAAAAATCTATGAAAAACATACAAAATTCTTATGCAAAGACTTTTTACCTTAGAGGTAAGTTCGTCCAAAGCTGGATAAGCAGCAGTCTCTAACTCTCTCGTTCGTGCGTCAAGGAAACTACAAATTGCCTCAAATAAAACTTCCAAAGCCCGTATCTCAAATGGAAATTCTACGAGCCATGGTCAATTTTCTATTATCGCAACAGAAGGAAAACTAAAGAGCCCGAAACAGAACAACACTAACACTGTTTAATTATAGCAAAAAAAGAAATCAAAATGTTTCACAAAGCACACCATTTTCGTCTCCTCCTTCACCATCTTGAGCACAGGTCTCTTCTTCTCCTCGGCCTTCCCCAGAAGCACTTACTTTGGGTAACCGTCGTCGAAGCTCTTCAACAATTGGCACAACGTCATCATCCGTTGGGTCTCTCAGCAACACCTGCATCACCAAGAACAAACAACACAACCTCACAAAATTGATTCTGTTTCCAGTGTATCTACCTATAAGCTAGTAAAGAACAATGAATCGAACATGAGACACGTATCATTATAAACTAAAAACCAATGAAAAGTCACAAATTTTAGTGATAGAAAAATGTTTTTCTCCCAATAACTACTTCGTACGGATTGATCAACGTGTTCGACATGGGTAACTCAGTGAGTAAATATTAAAGATGGATTTTTTTAAAAAATATTACATATAGATTACTAGTTCATAATTTTAATTGTGTAGAACTTTATCAGCATACCTCATCTGCAGTGATGATAGCTTTAATGTGCTGCAGAAAAGAAATGAATGAATGAGTTGGTGAAAGAAAGATTAGAAAGCGGGAGAAAGAAGTGATGGAAGCGAAGTGTTTGCCTCTAGATTGAGAACAATGACTTTGTCTCTTCCGAAAATGGTGGAGGGATAGGATAAGAGAGGATCGAGAATCCGAAGATCCCTGGCGTGAATTTTAACGAGGCGCATGATGGCATGCTTGTCTGCATCGAGCACAGTGGGTTTGCCATGGTGGTCGAGCAGAACCCAACTTCTGGAAACAGCAGTTTTCTTCTTTTGTGAAGAGGGTTGAAGTTGAAGCAGAGAGGCAGAAAGAGCCATTCGGTGGAAGTGAGGAAGAGGATGAGAGAGTTAGGGAGCAATGAAAGATATGTTGCATGAGTTGATTTGGTGACAGGTAGTGTGTGGGGTTCTTTCTCAGTGCCAGAAGAGGAGAGGTTAAAAAAGTACCACAATTACGCTTAAACACCCTTCGTTTAAATGGAACAACAGATAACTTCCATGCCTGCCCTCTCTAGATAACTTAGCGTAAAATATAAAAATAAGAGTGGGAGTTATATGATTTCTTTTAAGTAAAAAGTTATGTAATTATTTATTTATGGACTATTAAAATCAATTTAATTTTATATGTGTAAACTTGTGTAGTTAAAAATTGGTAATAAAAACACTCAAATTTGTCTCTTTTGCATACTGGTGTAAATGATACTGTATTTTGGTTCCTAAATTATTATTTAAAAGAAATACAATGTCTAAAATAGAATTACCATCAACCATACTTTCAAAAGAAAAATCGTAATTCTATTATACTTAATAGATTTATTTCAAAATATAAATGCAATTTTAATTAACGAAATTCTCAAATTTTTCTTATAGTAAATTTGACAACATCGATAGAATCACGTATGTATGCACAAGTTAAATAAAAATAATAAGTAACAACTTTATTTTCAAATTATATTTTAAAATTCTTTAACAAAACAAACACACTTTACTCTTAAATCCAATTAAATTATAATATGTAGTCATTTTTTCTCAAATTTATCAAACAACTTTAGGATCTATTTCACTTTGAATTAAAAAGAAAAGGTTATATATACTAAAATGTCCTCAACGCTTGACTAAATGTATTGTAATGTAAGGCCTCTTGTAGTGATTGTAGTTGAATTGAAAAATAAAGGTTTAATGATTATTTACCATTTTTTACTCTGCATGAAGACTCCAAATGTTGCATCACCACAACAATGATTTGAAGGGGAAGCACAATGAGTAGAGGGACATATAACATTAATGACCAAACACATAATGTTACCGTAATTAATGGTGGTGATTGTCTATGTGTTAACCTGTAATGTTTGACTTGATATATAATCTCGCAGTATTTAATGATAATATTCCCTCTAATATCATCTACAGCCCCTTCTTTACTTAACAGTTCTCCTCAGCTCTGTAATAATAATAATAATAAATGTCAGACATAAAAAATTAAAATTTATGATTGGAAAACAATAATATAATATTATAAAAAAAAACAATAACTTTACTGCTAAAACAATCACAAGAATCTCTTGCATGAGTGAAGAGGTGGTCCAATTATTGGTGGGGTAAAAAGATGTCCAGGTCCAAGATTTTTCTAATTCATAAAAATAGTATTTTAATTTATAAAATATGTTTGAGAAAAAAAAATATGTCCTTAAGATCATTGAAAAGAAGAATGGAGATAGATTGTAAAATTTAGATGATTTAAATTTGAAATTATAGAAATATTGGGAACCAGAATTATTAAAAGCGTAAACACGTGAAATTGGCATGTAGGATACGTGTCAATCGTGTCTGTGGTGAGATTGATGGTGGAAAAGGATCTCTGATATAGTTTCAAATATCTCTTATATTCTTCTGAAGCACTCATTTGATTGTCATGTTCCTGTTTATTTAACTTTCTAGCCTCAATCTTTTCTGTTCCAAAAGACGCTGAACTACAACTCAAGTTAAGAAATAACCCTTCATCTTAGTTTTATGTACCTTTTATTACTTTTACGTCTTAAATTTTACAAAACTAAAAGGAAATGGACAAGACAAATATATGATAATATTATTTAATTTAGACAGTAAAATTGTATGGTGTATTCAGTTCTGAGTTCTTCCAGTTTTGAAATGTTATACTCATCATTTAATAATGTAAATAAACTTTATTTAATAAATATTTGTGTTTCATTAATGTCAAAAATGTTATATTTCAACTTATTAAAAAAACATTTTTAGTATAAACTAGTTACTGTTAAAATTAATTAAAGTAATTACTATTAGGTTTAAACATGTTCATAATCCCGAGTGATTTCTTTTTTATTTTCGTCTCTTATAATAAAATATCTTCATTGTAGTAAAATTTAAAGTTTATAAAATTTAAATGAATTGATTCCTGACAATGGTGGTGGAGAATGAGTGGGAAAGAATAGAAGAGTGTTTGGGGTTGGATAATCAATGAATGGGTTATCTAAATCAGAGTAGTGGAAGTGAAAAAATAGAGATTGTGTGTGGTCTTTTGGATTGGAATTGGAAGTATGACTGCATAAAAAGACAAAAAAATAGCACTGACAGAAAAGTCTGTTGCGTTGCGAGAGAAATAGAGGAGAGAGAATAAGTTAATGTTGTTTGTGAGTATTTAACGAAAGAAATTTGATTGAGACAAACTTTATCAAGTGAGGATGCAATTGACACTCTTTTAAGAAGAATGACCTAATTGACACAACTCACCAAAACTAGGGACAAAATAAGCTATTAAATCTTCAATCAATTTAGAAAATGCATAATCAATTTCACCCCTCCTAAAAGACATTCAAAATCTATTCTAGATGTCATATATTACTTCCAAAATCGATTTCTTATTCTTTTAACATCTCTATGATAGATTCTCTCTCCCTCTTGCATAATTGATTATACCTTCCATGCATTCTTTCTCACAAGTGAAATTCATCCAAAACATGTTTTCTCTTAAAATACATGGATGTAGAACGTTCTTTCAAATTAAAGTTAAGTTTTTTTTCATATTTCACTCGCTGCATAAACAATTCATCCCTTAAATTTTGATGTTGATGCATGAAATGTTTCATCATTCTCTCTCACAAAACGTCGTCCGCAAATCATCTCAAAACCATTTATCCAAACATTTCACTCACTCACAAATGCATCCGCACACACATGTTATGCTTGGTTTTAATGATGTACTATTGACGAGTGAAAAAAAGGAAATAGTTATATGTCTAGTTCTAGTGATCTGAAATGAAATTAGAGCAAGAATTTGCGATAAAAGCTTGCAAGAGTGCCCTCAACCAAGTGAGAAGATTGTGAAGGAAAGACATCTCACCCATATGAAATTTCATATATGGCCATTTGATGTTTAAGGTGAAAGTTTTTTTTTTTTGCTAAAATCTTTTTTTTTTCTAATTCTTATATAAAAATTCAATTAGATCCCTAACTTTTATTTGATTTAATTTAGTCCTATAATTTTTTAAAATGATCCAATTATGTCATTTACGTTATATTAATATTAGATTTTTGTTAGAATTTAAACATTAAATCACTTAACCTAAAAAATAAAATTGTTTTGAATATTTAGATTTGTAAAGTGAAGTAATTTGATGTATAAACTTTAACGAAAATTTAATGTTAATCTAACTGAAATGACCTAATTAGATTATTTAAAAATAAAAAGCTAAAAGACTAAATTGGTCTAAATAAAAATTATGAATTTAAATAATTTTTTTATAAAAATTTGAGAACCAAGGGATTTTAGTGTTTTTTTTAATATATTTACTGTATTTATCATGTATGGAGATAGGGATTCCTAGAAAGATGGCCTCCAAGTAGGAAAATACAAGTAGGAAAATAGATTCATCCAAACCAGACAATCGATTCGTAAACGTTAAATAAGTCATATATGCAGGACTAAATTGATTTTGTGATGCATGGAAGATACACTAGGAGAATTGATTCTCCTATTTGGTTTTAATGTGCAGAACGATTCTCTCCATGGACAATTCACTCGAATCGATTCTATGCCGTGGAGAATATGTTTTCTCCTCTCATTTTTCAACAAAAACTGATTCTCGTTTTTTTCCTGATGTAGTGTTTGCGATGGGTTGTAGGTGGTGGTCAACTACGTGGTGGCTGGTGGAAGTTACCACAAATTTTGGGTTGCAAGAAGAAAACAATGGAGTGCAAGAAGAAGGCTCTCACAAATTAATGAGACTCGGTTTATAATGGGCCAGGATATTTAGACAAAGAGTGTTTCATCCTACACCTCTAAGATCTCATCCTGCACCTCCAAAAATTCCACTTTTAACCTTCTGACATTTCATCATTATCCTACACCTTTAACTTTATAGAAAATTTTATTTTTAATTTTAATAAATATATTCTTATTTTTTTTCTTTTTCTTATTAAAAAGATTCTATATCACCTTAATAATAACTAAATTTAAAATTCAAATATTATTTAATATAATTTTATATTTTAATAATTATTAAAATATGATTTATGTTATAATAATAATTATATTAAAAATATAAAAATAAAATAATTAAAAATAAAAATAATAACAAAAAAGTAAATTATATTAAATAAAATATTTAATATATTCAAATATATCAAATTATATTAAAATATTAAATTAAATTAAATAATTATTAAAATTTAAATAATAAACAAAATTTTAAAACAGTTATTTATCAAATAATAAATAAAATTATATTAAATAAAATATTTAAATATACTAAATTATATTAAAATATTAAATTAAATTAAATAATTATTAAAATTTATATATAAAATAAAATTTTAAAAACACTTTTTACCCGATATATATAAATAAATTTTTTAAAATTTTTATTTTTATTTAAAATTTAATGATTATTTAATTTATTTTTAAAATTTTATTATAATTTAATATATTTGAATATATTAAATCAAATTTATTTTTATTATTATTTATTATTATTTATTATTATTATTACTATTATTATTATTATTTTTATTGTTTTATTTTTATGTTTTTAATATAACTATTATTATAATATAAATTATATTTTAATAATTATTAAAATACAAAATTATTTTAAATAATATTTAAATTTTAAAATAAATTAAATTAAATTATTATTAAGGTAGTGAAGATTGTTTTTAATAAAAAAAAAAGAAAATGAAAAAATATTTATTAAAGTTAAAAATAAAGTTTTGAAAAAGTTGGAGGTGCAGAATGATGATGAGATGTCAGAAGGATAAAATTGGAATTTTTGGAGGTGCAGGATGAGATCTTGGAGGTGTAGGATGAAACACTCAGTGTTTCATCCTACACCTCCAAGATCTCATCCTGCACCTCCAAAAATTCCACTTTTAACCTTCTGACATTT